GGGCATTTCCCATCAGCACAGGAAGTCCTACTGGACAGCACTGACTGAAGCACGTTGTATACTGATGGGAAAGAGCCTGGAGAGAGGGAGGTGGAAGATGGAGAAATGCTTCCTGAGGAGGTGAGAGGGGAGGGGATGGCCAGTCCCCCGGGGAGGGGCGGGGTTCTGGTAGGCAGGGCCAGAGGAGGGACTGGCCATCCGTTTGGCAAAGCAGGTGAGAAGGAAAAGGCAAGGCAGGTATACCGGAGGCTGCAGGCGTGGTGGGGAGGTGAGGCTGTCCTTGGTCGTGGCTCCTCTTTTGTCACTGAGAAAGGAGGCTCCGTGTGTGGGGGGGGTGGGGGGGAGGTCTGGGGAGGGAAGAAGGTAGGAAAAAGCTCCCCTGGGGAGTGAGGACACGGACTTACTGGGGAAACCACACACACTGCGAAACATTTCACAGAAGGGAAGCAGGACACAGGGACACTGAATGAGGGAAAGCGTCTTAGGTGGGGAGAGGTCAACTCAGATTTTTTTTTTTCTTAGATCCTGGTCGTGTTGACAAGCACAGCCACAACGAGGTTGCAGGACCACAGCAAAGTTTCCCGCTGGCTGCCCTTTCCTGGTTCTTCCTCCTCCATCCCACTCCAGTCTCAGGAAGAATGGCATGGGTTCTATTTTCAGTTAAAATGGTTCCCTCCACCCGCCTCTGTCTAAACTGCTTATCCAGGCCTCGCTCCATCTCAACTTACAGCCCTGGCTGGCTTGTGCATTCCCATAAATTATAGAAGTGGACGTATTAAAAATGGCAGAATTAGGCAGGAGTTCCACACAGCCCTCACCTATAAGCAGTGAATAACAGACATTCATAGATGACAGTAACACTGCACGAAAGACATATCCCACGTTTCAACAAAATCCCCAAGCTACTCCTCCCTGTCTCTCCACGACAAAAAAAAAAAAATTATTCTCTAACATTTTCTTTATGAGTAAACGTTTTCATTTCCACAGAACTATTTGATCTCAACCGGTCGGAGTTTCAATATTTGTTTTTGATCACGCAAGTGTGCTGGGTCGGTTTGGGATTGGCTGAGGGGGGTGGGGGAGGGACAGGGAGTTAAAATTACCAGATCCCTTTATCTCCCATCTTGAGATCTACATTTGCCAACTCCTTCCCATGCATTTTTTTTTTAAAGTATGAAATCTGAGAGCTGCAAAGGTTCCCACTGCTCAAAGAACAGCCCTGTCACAGTCTATCGAGGAGTCACTGGGAATGTTACAGTCTGCTTCCCGGCCAGGGGGCCCCTGGTTAAAGCTCCCCGTTTCTGTACGGGTGAAACCCCTTGAGTCTGCACCAGGGTCTGAAGCACATGTCCTGGCCCCTCTCTGTTCCCCTGCCCTGCTCATGTTGGTCCGGAGCCCCCATACTTCCCTTCCTCAGAATTCCTCTTGGCCTGCCGCTGGTTCCTTCAAGCATGGTGCAGACCCCACAGATAGCGTTCACCAGGTGAAAGGACTCCAGAAACTCTTCTGGAGCCAGGCACATAACGCCACTGACCCACGGGAGCTGGGTCCAGCCCCCAGGACAATCTTTTTTTTTTCTTCTTTAACATATTTTATTGATTTTCTACACAGAGGAAGGGAGAGGGATAGAGAGTTAGAAACATCAATGAGAGAGAAACATCGATCAGCTGCCTCCTGCACACCCCCCACTGGGGATGTGCCCGCAACCAAGGTACATGCCCCCGACCGGAATCGAACCTGGAGCCTTTCAGTCCACAGGCCGACGCTCTATCCACTGAGCCACACCAGCCAGGGCCCCCAGGACAATCTTGCCCCTTTCCCCTCCTCGCCCATCCCATACAGGAAAGCAAGCTCTCTAGACCCACAGAGCACAAGTCTTTGGGTCATGATAAGGCCGCTAAGCGCAGCAGCAAGGGACAGAGAGATTAACGAACTCTGATTCACTTGCAGATCCCCCCCCCCCACCCACCCACCCACAGTCAGGCTGTGGCTTCCCTCTGCCCACACACAGTGTCCCTCTACTAATATCAGCTGACCAACCTGGGGGAAGGTACCAAACCACTTCAGGCCTCAGTTTCCTCACCTGTGAAATGGGCCTAACAGCCGTTCCCTGAACACTGAGGTCCCATCCTCCAAGTGCACTCACAACGGGTGAGCAAATGTAAGGAGTTTAACTGCTATCAGCACAGTGGCTGGCTCCCTGACTCACGGCGCCTACTACTCTGAGCGGCGCCTGGAGAGATCAATCCTGCTTTTTAAATTACTTTATAGACTCAGAAGCATTAGTCACTTCGACAGAGTATGTCAACTTCTCTCCTGAGCATCTCGGTGGTTTCCAAGACTGAAGCCTCACCTAGCTCCTCACCGACTGCCATCATCCGCAGCCATCGCCAACACACTCAAAGTCCACCCTCCCTGTGCCCGGGGGTTATTATTATTTCCTTTCCAGGAAAACTTGGATTTCCATTTTGTTTGTCATAAACCCAATAGTGGAGAAGGAGAAACTGCACCTACACTCACAGACACAGGCCCCGGAGTGGACCGCGCCCGGGAGCGAGGGGACCGCCGCATGGCCGAGGCAGCAGAGCCGGCCGGGCGCCGATCCGCGCGCGGTGCTCCCGCGGCTTGGAGAGATGGGCCCCGGGCCCGGGGCGGAGGGCGCGGGGTCGGTGGCGCGCTCGCTCCAGGCTCCGAGCAGACGCGGCGGAGGCCCGCAGCCCTCCAGCGCGGCGGGCGCACTCACCCCATCTCCGGCGCTCTCCCTCGCCCGCGGCGGCTCCGACGGGGCCTCTGGCGCTCGCTGTCTGCCCGCCTGGCAGCTGCTCCCCGCGCAGCACATGCGGGTCGCCCGTGCGCGCCCGGCTCAGCCCCGGCGCTGCTCCATTTCCGCGGGGCTGCGCTGCTACTGGCCGCCCACCGCCAGGGCGGCCAGGCAGGCCGGCCGGGCAGGCGGGGGCTGAGCCACCAGGGGCAGGGCAGCCGCGTTCGGGCCGGTGCCCGCCCCCGCCCCCGCTCCTTACGTAACCCTCGTGGCCCCCCAGGCCCCTGCGCCCCAGCCCCAGGGGCGGGGGGGTGCCAGCGCACCGTAGCAAACCGGGCCTCCCTGGCAGACCCTTCCCCTTTTGCGATTTTTGCGTCTGTGCGCTCCTGCTGTTTCGCCCCCCCAGGAGCT